TGATTAACCAGGCAGAGTCAGGGAAATGTGCCCCACCCACCACACAGACAGAGACAAGTGCACAACAAGAATGGGGAAAACACAGGGAAACAGGGAAACACAGGGAAACACAGGGAACGACAGTCACGACTGTCATCGTGACATGCTGTCTTTTTAAAGCAGATAATGAGGTTCATTTTTGTTTTCATTATTGAATTTTATATGAAAAAACACATTTAATTATTATTTAAATTGTTGACTAAATGATTAGTCTTTCATACACTGCCTTGTATTAATATTAATAATATGATTACACAAACAACTAATAAGTTGTAGTATGTCTATGACGATTCTCAGTCATCCAGGTCATGGTCAAGTTTAAAAAGTTCTGTTAGGCAACTGGACGTGAATTTTCTAAAAGAAACGTTTCACCTCTCATCCAAGAGGCTTCTTCAGTTCTAACTGGTGGTGGGGAGTACAGCAAATATATACTCTAGGTGTGAAAGAATAAAGCTACTTCAGCTCCACTCTGTTGGGTGGGGCCTTGGGGTCAACTGTGAAAGTGTAAACAGTCGTTAAGAGTCTGATGGGACGTTGTGGTCCCCATCAGAACGATTTCGGTCACCTGGCTCTTTGTTGTGTGAAACTGGGGTGAAACTTTTGGGTATTGTTCCTAAAAGTGCTTTGTATGTGGGTGATAGGTTGTGTCTGAGTCCACCTCCTCTGTTGAGTGATGGTCTTTCCAGGTTGACAAAAATGGCTTCTTTTACCCCTCTCTCAAACCATCTGTCTTCCCTGGCCAAAATGTGCACATTGTTGTCCTCAAAGGAGTGTGTTTTGTCCTTTGAGGTGTATGTGAACAGCTGAGTCCTGTCCTGAGGAGTTGGCCCTCCTGTGTTGGGCCATGCGCCTTTGTAGCAGTTGTTTAGTCTCCCCAATGTACAGGTCTGTACACTCCCCACTGCACTGAATGGCATAAATCACATTGTCCAGCTTGTTTCTTGGAGTCTTGTCTTTGAGATGAACCAGTTTTTGTCTTAGGGTGTTACCAGGTTTGAAATGTACAGGGATCTGGTGTTGGTTAAAGATCCTCCTAAGTTTTTCCGAAACTCCTGAAATGTATGGAATGACGACATCCCCCCTCCTCCTGTTGTCCTCCCTCTTTGTGGGCCTCTTTTTGTTCATTTTTAAAAAAGTCCATCTGGGATAACCACAGGCCTCGAGAGCTGTCCTAATGTGTCCCTGTTCTCTCATCTTACCT